TTCTACTTGACTTTAATTTGATCTGCTCTACTCTACTCTACTAAAAAAGTAAAGTAAAATGACTTTCAAAATGTTTCCTGCATTAGGCTTTTGGTTTTACAAAACCCCACATTTTATTTGAAATCATTCATTTATTATTCTGTCACTTTTGAAAAACCAAGGCATKAAACACTATGGCACACCTAAATAGATTTTATTTTAATTTAAACAAAAATATTTTAATCCAAAGATTGTGGAAGACTGTCAACCAACCCCCTCACCTACATTAGCTGGCAAGGAGGCCCTGTTTGTCAAATATTCATGAGTCGGCTGCTGTTGGCCATTGAACTTCTTTTTATTTATTTTCTTGTAAAACTTCACTCCTGCACCAAGCCAGGGTGATTTCTTATATAGTTTTACTGAACTGGATGTCTAATCTCTGGTAACTCAGACAATCTGCCGACGAGGCCTTRTTTTTGCTCAAGCCAACAAAAATGAGCCGCAGTCAGCTGGAATAGACTATTTAACAATTATAAGAATATTCAGGGTAGAATGTAGATTAAAGGAAGTGATAATATCTTACCTCCACACTAACAGAGCTGTTGCACTGCTGTATTTCATGAAGTACTGGACAGGGCTTTTTGAAACTTTCAAAATGTGACCAACAGATYATCTTTTGGAGTCAGTCTAGTTAAGATGGCTGCCACTACTCACTGACACTGTCAAACAGAGAAAAGGCTGTAGCTTAGTCAGTTTTACTGTTATGATTGAGCTAGGTTGGTTTGAACCCCAGGATGCAAGACTGAGTGAGGTGGCAAAAAGGGTTTACTAAAGCAAAAACAAAGGTGCTGACGTGGCAGCAAACAAGAACAAGGGCTTTGGACAGGAACAGGAACAGGAACAGGAACAGGAACAGGAACAGGAACAGGAACAGGAACAGGAACAGGAACAGGAACAGGAACAGGAACAGGAACATCAAATAGTAAACAAGGATCTGACATAGACTGAGGACAAATGACAGAATATAAAGGAAGAACTAATGAGGTAAAACAAGAAACACCTGGGGAAGAAACAAGAGGATCGGGTGTGAGTGGGGAGGACTAGAGCAAAGGCAGGCAGGAGCAAGAAAACAGGAGGAAAAGACAGAAAAACTTAGAATGAATCATTAGCACAGACACAAATCATGACATTTACAGATTGTGAGGTTTGGTGTGGTAGGAACAGATGTCTCGACTACACACAGTCTATCCTGTGATATACTGAGCATTTATTGAACATTATTGTATTTTCAAAGTTTGACCATAGAATGTACATCTCTGTCAATTCTCAACATATGAGCTAAAGCTAATGAAGGGCACTGCTAGGCTTTAACTTGGTGAAATATATTTTATGTCATGCCTTGTTCATGTAAGTTCTACTTGCCTGGTTTAATGAGCTGGTTAGGACCAGATGATTCCATACAGTACAAACATGGTGAGAACATAAACCCAGAGAAGYTGTTTGTCTTTTATTGGTTTGTGTCTGTGTTTCTACAGAGAGCTACAGCTGGATTCAGAAGAACCAGACTAGAACTCACAGAGGGTAACTTGGACAACAACCACCCCAGCACCTCCTCTTCTATACATTCAGAGAATCCTGTTTCCATGGACATGAACTCCTCACCACCGGTAACACATGACTCATGTAGCAACAATCAAAGCCTAGAGGGTCTTTATTGCTCAGAGACCCACGTGGAAGAAGAGGAGGCTGCTGAGGGAGATCTTATTTTGAAGACTGAAGATGAGACTGGAGGACAAGAACAAGATGATGGTTGGAGAGACGTCTGTAATGAAAWAGATGAAGGAGGATGGGAAGTGAAAGGTGAAGAAGAACCGGACCAGACAGGAAATGGAGATGAGGAAGAAAGGACTGAAAACCTGGGGAACGTAGAAGAAAATGAAACAGTGGATGAATGGCTAACAGAGAAAAAACAAGATTCATCATCAGATCTACTCTTTAATGAAAATCCAAACTACCTTTTGTTTCAGCAGCCAGCTGTCACATCGGATCCTCCAGAAGCTGCCTTGCAGGAGTCCTGGAGATGGGAGGACTCTGGAAAGACAGATGCATTTAGCAACGATCACCTTAGTGACTGCCTTCAGGCCAAACTAGCCATTGTTTACCCTGAGAGTGATGCAGAGGAGGACCAATGGGCAGCCTTATCCTCCTGTGAGAACACCAGCCACATTGAGGAAAGTGACATAATGACTGATAGCACATATGATACAGAGAGCAAGGAGGATGGAATATTTAGTGTAGAAATAGAGACGAGAGTGGAGGAGCAGGCAGAAGAGGAGGTGAAAGGAGAAGACCAGGAGGATGATGAAGACCAGATGAAGTCAGGAAGAGATCTGACCCTGCAGTCTCCTTCTATCAGCTCCATGACCAGCTCAGTGGACTCTGACAGGAGAGTAAGTTCCACACTCATATTCATTTGGTTTGTGTGTTCTGAGACCTGTGGAATCATCCAGAACCCTGAGCCTAGTTTCTGTTGTCCAACAGGTAACAAAACTCGAAAACTGTGAAATGGATTTACTTTGTCAGGATTCGTTTAAAGACACACCACATTATTCCTTCTTTATAGTACAACTGCCTGTGTAATGAGACAGGACATGATGGATAGATTAACTGTGTCACCTCTGAYGCAGGTTACACATCATTCTTACCAGCAGGTCTGTACAGCAGCAGCAGGATGGCTCAGTTGTTAGCACTGTWGCCTCTCAGCAAAAGGGTTCTGAAAAACATGGACCCCAGGCTGCCTGAAGGCCCAGGCTTCCCTTGCAAAGAGATGTGTGACGATGATGTCAGTGGGATCTGCCTGGTTAAAGAAAGATCAAAACATATGTTCCCAATTTCAGTTCAATTACCATATTTATTCAAGTACAATACGTAAAATTAAATTCATAAAATCATCCATAAAGTTGGGGGGTAGTACTATACTCGGATAAATATTTTACCTATGTATTTTAACTGCAATATCAGCAAAATTATTGAGTCCGGAAATGAGACCGCGTTGTAAAAAGCAGTTGAAATGAGCTCACCTCTGACACTCCTCCATTCTTCAG